CCACGGGGCGGTCCCCAATTATTTAACATTTTGAGTACACCGAGGGCAATAATTTTCTCAAATGCTTTATAAAATATAAACATCACATTTTTGAAACAGAAAAGGACCTCTGAAGGCAGGGCCAGTGAGTGCTAGGTAAATGGTCAAGCAATTGGGTAAATGAAAAGCTCGAAGTATATTTTGCAGTTAAACGCCACATTTTAGTGTTTCTTTCATAATACTAATTGAATTTCCTACTTGGAGTCTTAAAAGTAAAAAAAAAATGAAGTTCTTCATTGAAATTCTGAGTCAAGGGCACCATTCTGTGCATAATTAGAGTACAACGGGAATTTGAATTAATTCAGAGTGAGAAAAATCATCCATTTATTGTGTGGCCTGATGGCAACTTAACAATTTTCTACAGCACTTTAATGATTTCTTTTGTCTGTAACAATCACATTCATTAAACATATTAAACTTTAATTAGCTTTAGCAGATGTTATTCTTCTCCAATAATCTGGCACGAAGGAATCTCATAACTTTTAAATTATGCATGCCAGCCTTTGCTATTTATAGTACTTCAACGGAAAGACATTCTCTTCTTTAAATCTGACATCGGTCAGCCCTTTCATGCTGGGCATACTGAGCTAACTGGAAAGCATAAATATTAAGGTGATTTTTTTCAAATTTGGAGTCTAACTTATGACAACTGTAAAAACATCTGAAAACTCTATTACATTTCACCTTTAATATATTTTACATCATTGAAAAAATCTAAAACAGTAAGATTGTCTCATGGCTTCCAAAAAAGTATTTTTCATGGTAAAATGATAACTCAATTACGATTGTATGGGGATCATCAACAGGGGACAAGAGAATTTTCACCGTAGTTCTATTTGGGATTTCAAAAACTAACATAAATCCCTCAACTGTTCCCTCCCTCCAAACCTGTAATGCCCCACGGGGAGGGGAGGCTTGGCACACCCTGACTGCTGGGGGCGCTGGTGCTCAGCACGTCTGGTCGGCCTTTACCACTGGCTCTTCTGCTGCCTGTCAGAATCTCTAGAACCTGCCCCTTCCAGCAAGACTCCTAATTTTTCCTGTGGCGAACATCACTGGCTTCAACTAATTAACCAAGAGCTGGCAGAAATCTCTGGGTCTATCATTCAGTTTTGAGGGGAGGAGGTCCTCCAAATTTCCCTTCTTGCAATTAGATGCTTAATTTTTTTACTTCTAAGTTTGGTGGTGTTTTAAAACTGGAAGGTACTAGAAACCCTGTCTCTCATAATAAATGTTATTGATAAAATTATCTAATGGTATTAAAATCTTAATATATAAGAATTTAACTTATACCACTATTTACATCACTAGATGACAAAAAGTGTCCTGCTGAAAAACCCGTTATTAGCTCCATTATTCAGGCCATTTGCACATTTCATCTGCATTCTTCCTGCTCTTTAATAGAGCCCAACACACCAACATTTCCAGACTTCACTATATGCCCAAGAGGAACCAAAAAGCAAAGACATGTTTCTTTCAGGCTATTGCCCGATCTTCATTCGACTCATAGAGGCCAATTTTCCTATCTAGTTATGTGGGCCAGTACTCAAGACTATGATCGAAACTATGAGGGAGGGCCGGCCCCGTGGCTTAGTGGTTAAGTGCGCATGCTCCGCTGCTGGCGGCCCGGGTTCGGATCCCCGGCACGCACCGACGCACTGCTTCTCCGGCCATGCTGAGGCCGCGTCCCACATACAGCAACTAGAAGGATGTGCAACTATGACGTACAACTATCTGCTGGGGCTTTGGGGGAAAAAATAAATAAATAAAATTATAAAAAAAAACCAACTATGAGGTAGATCCATCTATTTCTTTTGGGGGAAGGGGGATTTTACACCAAGCCAGAAGCATCACTAAATCTTTCTGAATCCCTTTGTTTAGGTGTGTTGCTTGTACACAGCAGTTTTTTTTGACCCACTCTAAAAGTTTTTTTCTTTTAATAGATGAGTTTATTCCACGTACATTCATTGCTGTAACAGTTCAGCCTCTCTCATTTTTATGTTTTCTATTGTATGATTCTTTTTTTTCTGAAGAAGATTGGCCCTGAGCTAACATCTGTTGCCAATCTTCCTCTTTTTTTTTCTTTTTTTCTCCCCAAAGCCCTCAGCACATAGCTGTATATCCTAGTTGTAGGTCCTTCTGGTTCTTCTATGTGGGACGCCACCCCAGCATGGTCTGATGAGTGGCAAGTAGGTCCACGCCCCGGTTCCGAACTGGCGAACCCCAGGCTGCTGAAGCAGAACGCGCAAACCCAACCACTGCGCCACCAGGCCGGCCCCTCTACTTCATGATTCTTAATGTCAACTTTGTTTTCTTTATCTGACAAATATAGTTGGTTCTGCTTGTCTTGTTTTGCAAGCTTATTTTCTCCCTCTGATAATCTGGAAGATAGAGGAGTGATTTTAGTTCTACTAATATCATTGAATATTATTATTCACTAATAGGTCTATATCCATGTCTTTATTATTGTTTCCAAAAGTAATAGTGTCGATGATTTACCTCCTGCAAAAGATAAAATCACTGCACTTACGCCACACCTCTTTCCCATTTTTCTAATTTATTGCTCTAGTTCTGATGGCACTTATTGGGATGTTGTGTTAAGCCTCTGTTGTCAATTTTTAAAAATAGCTTAATTGAGGTGTAATTTATATACTATAAGAATTGCCCATTTAAGTGTACAATTCAATACATTTAATAAATTCATACAGTTGTGCAACTGTACCCACAATCCAGTTCTGGAATGTTGCCATTTCCCCAAAAAGCTCCCCACTTCCACTCCCAGCCCTAGGCAACCACTGAGCCGCCTGTCCCTATAAATTTGCCTTTCAAAAAAGACGTTTCACGTAAATGGAATCACATAATATGTAGTGTTGTATCTCACCCCTTTCACTCAGCACAGTGTTTTCAATGTTCATACATGTTCATACAATGTTCATACATAATGTTCATACATTATGTATCAGTAATTCCTTTCAATTTCTGAATATATAGTCACATGCCATATAACGACGTTTCGGTCAATGACAGACCACATACACGATGGTGGTCCCACAAGATTAGTACCATATAGCTTAGATGTGTAGTAGGTTATACCATCTAGGTTTGTCTAAGTACATGCTACGATGTTCGCACAAGGACGACACCGCCTAACGATGCATTTCTCAGAGAGTATTCCTGTCATTAAGTGACACATGACTGTATCCCACTGTATGTATAGACTACATTTTGTTTATCCATTATCAGTTGATTGACATTTGGATTGTTTCCAGTTTTTGGCCATTATGAATAATGTTGCTCTGAACATTCACATGAACATTGTGTGAACATATGTTGTCATCTGAGTACATTCCCGGGAGTGGAATCACTTCATTATATTGAGGGACATTCTCAGGATAACCTGCCTGTAACCCACTGAAAATGTCAAAGATACGGCAGAAGATACAGACTAAAAGAAACTAAAGAGACATGCCAATTAAATGCAACGTGCAGTCTTGGAGTGGAGTCCAGACTGGGGACACAAATTCTATGAAGGACACAAGGACAGCCGGTGTAATGTCAGTATGCTGCAGAACACCCGAGGGGCTGATTCCAACCTGTCTGTTGAGCCCACCCCAGAGTGTGAGTCAGGAGGTCTGGGTGAGGCTGAAAACGTTCATTTCTAACAAGTTCTCAGGTGAAGCTGATGCTGCTGGTCCCAGGACCACACTGTGTGAACCAGTGGATTAGATAATATCAATATATCACTGCACATTCCTTATTTTTGACAATTTAATTGTGGTTATATAAGAGAGTATTTGTGTTGTAGGAAATATGCGCAGGAAACATGGTGTTTTCAACTTACTCTCAAACGATTCAGAAATGAAATATGTAGAGAAAGAATGATAAAACAAATGTGGCAAAATGTCGACACCTGGTCTATGTGGGCCAAGAAGTTCTTTGTCTAATTCTTGTAATTTTTCTATACATTTAAAATAATTTCAAAGTAAAAAGTTAAAGGAAAGAATAACTCATATAAATCTCATAGATTATCAAAGGTTATTGGAAAGTGAATGTTCATCTATAAGTTTCACAAGCACAAGCAATATACAATGCTTATCTAAACTGATATTATTCTATACTATATATACAATCATTGTGTATTTTTAAATTATTTTAATTTACAATGAATAAAGGAAACACTAACTGTCCTTTGACCAATTTTAATTGCTAAAAATATCAAGCTAAATTATATGAGATCAACATCAATTATCAGAAATGATACAATAAGGCTAGGTAACATAAAATAGGTAACAGTCAACAACCAGGAAAACATATACTTCTGCTCATACATCATTCTTCGCAAACACACTACATCAACATTTTTAGCTTGTGTTTTCTTCAGTTCAGTAGTAAAAATAGCCTAAGATGCATTACAGACTTATGAGACTGATAATCTACATTACAGACAGTCCAACAGTCTGCAGGATCTGTTCACAGGCAACCTTAACCATAGTGTACAACCATCACATCAATAGATTAACACTGCGGACACAGAAAAAAAAACCCCCAAAATAAAACCAACACAAGGAGGACATGAAGATGATAACCAATACTTAATAGATCAAGCTGAAATATTTAATGTAGCTAAAAATAGAGGAAAAATTAATAAAATTTGGTGTTAGAAAAGCACTACACAGTGTGTACTGCACAACTTCATTTAACCCTATTTGACATCCTGCCGCCTTTCTTAGTTACAACGTGGTTTTTAAAGCACATGGCGGGCCGGCCCCCTGGCTTAGGGTTAAGTGCGTGCGCTCCGCTACCGGCGGCCCGGGTTTGAATCCCGGGCACGCACCAATGCACCGCTTCTCTGGCCATGCTGAGGCCGTGTCCCACGTACAGCAACTAGAAGGATGTGCAGCTATGACATACAACTATCTACTGGGGCTTTGGGGGAAAAAATAAATAAATAAAATTAAAAATAAAACAAAATAAAATAAAATAAAGCACATGGCATGAAAGGTGCATACCTTAAACCCCAAGAGAGGGGGTCGGGAGCAGCTTGTGACAAACTTGAGTAGTTTGCGCTTTTCTTCATCCGTGAATCCCTCCACAACTCTCCAGAAGACTTTGATTACAGGATGGTCAGCAGAATAGCCTCCTACGACCAAATGAACAATGTTTTACTAAAAACAAGATCACTGCAGAAGCAAGATTCTCCTAAAGGCACTAGAGCAACAGACCTACAAAAGTGATGCATTTTCTGCATCCTGTCACAGTGATGGACAGAGCTCTTGGCTGAAACCCACCTCTAAAGAAACACCTTTTATTCCGTTCCTGGGAGCTGATGGGCTAGGACAGAAGGGGAAGAAACTTCAGAGGGATCAAAGTATCAAAGACCAGAATGAGGAACACCCTGTACTTACAAGATGAACCCTGGCAAGAAAAGATGCTGCAAAGGGGTCTGAGTTTTAAGAACTCGCCTGGGAGTTAAAAATCAACGTCTGTTGAGTAGCAGATGTTAAATAACAAGGAATTTACATGATGGTCACACATCTAAAAATGGCAGACATTAGGATTTTTATTTCAAATAGAGCTAGTTATTTTGCCAGCACAATCTTAGTGTCTAAATTCGTTTTATCACCTGTCCTTCTGACAATAACGTACAGACCATGGCTAACAACCAACCCCAGCACACGATCAGACCACCATTCTAAAGTGTAATATCTGTTACTTATAGCTTTTAATCTAGTTAAGTGCTTCCTAAAACTGAAATAATTGCTATATATTGTTCCCTCATTGTTAATATACTACAGAAATAACATCAATAAAATATTCTAAGTGCATTAATTGGCACCAAAATGAATATGATAATATTTTAAACCTATTTACTGGAATAGCTAAGATCATTAAAGGTATAAGCTTCCAGTGCAGATAGGGTTATGCAAATAACCGAAGACAACTTCTTGGCAAAGGAAAAGTTGGATTGATTTCATTTTTTTAAACTTATGACTTGATAGTGGGGACAATGTGACCTTAGGTATTATCTGCCTTTACATAAACATTAGAGTTCAAATTTATTTTTTTATTTTTACTTTTTATTTTTTTTTTGCCCCCAAAGCCCCAGTAGATAGTTGTATGTCACAGCTGCACACCCTTCTAGTTGCTGTATATGGGACTCGGCCTCAGGATGGACAGAGAAGTGGTGCCTCGATGCGCACCCGGGATCCGAACCCGGGCCGCCAGCATCGCAGCGCGCGCACTTAACTACCAAGCCACAGGGCCGGCCCATAGAGTTCAAATTTAGAGCAATACAAATTAATTACAGAAAGGGGAGATACATGCACACATTTACATATATACATATATATAAATACACACATACGTATATATGTAAATGATTTTAGAAAATTTATAGAGTTTTGCAACCATCACCACAATCCAGTTTTAGAACATTCCCATTTCCTCAAACAAATCCTACATCCACCCCATTGACAACCATGATCTGCTCTGTCTCCATAAGTGTGCTCTTAAAGATGTTTCATCTAGATGAAATTACATTCACAATGCTGTGCAACTTTCACCACGGTCCATTTCCAAAATGTTTTCAAAAGTTATCTTGGAAGAAAGGTTGGGAAACAGCATTTAACAGAGCAGAGGAGTCAGGGTACGTTTCTTATTCCCTCTCTCCCAGCCCCTGGTAACCTCTAATCTACTTTCAGTATCTAGGAATTTACCCATTCTAGGTATTTTATATAAGTTGAATCATATAATATATGTCCTTTTGTGTCTGGCTTATCTTACTTGGAATAATGTTTTCAAGATTCATCCATGTTGTACCATGTATTCAAACTTCATTCCTTTCTAAGACTTAATAATATTCCCTTGTTTGTATATACCACATTTGTTTATCCACTCACACGTAGATGGACCTTTGGGTTGTTTCTGCCTTTTGACTATTGTGAACAGTGCTGCATGCATGATGTACAAGTATCTGTTTCAGTCCCTGTTTCCAACTGCTTTGGGTATATACCTAGGAGTAGAACTGTTGGGTTATATGGTAATTCTATGTTCAGCTTTTTGGGGAACGATCAAACCATTTTCCATAGTGGCTACTTTACATTCCCACCAGCAACGAACGAGGGTTCTAATTTCTCCACATCCTCACCAACATTTGTTATTTCCTGTGTGTGTGTGTGTGTGTGTGTGTGTGTGTGTGTGTATTTAGTAACAGCCACCCTAATGGATGTGAAGTGTATCTCACTGCGGTTTTGGTTTGCATTTCCCTAATGATTAGTGATGTTGAACATCTTTTTGAGCTTACTGGCCACTTGTATATGTTCTTTAGAGAAACGTCTATTCAAGTCCTTTGCCTATCTTTGAACTGGCTTGTTTGTCTTCTTGTTGTTGAGTTGTAAGAGTTCTTTATATACTCTGGATACCAGACCCTTATCAGATATATGATTTCCAAATATTTTCTCCCATTCTGTAGGTTGTCTTTTCACTTTCTTGATGGTGTCCTTTGATGCACAAAGTTTGTAATTTTGATGAAGTCCAATTTATTTTTTTTTTCTTTTGTTGCTCATGCTTTTGGTGTTATATCTATGAATCCATTGCCAAATCCAAGGTCATGAAGATTTACCCATTTTCCCCTAAGAGTTTTATGTTCTTAGCTCTTATATTAAGGTTGTTGATGTATTCTGAGTTACTTTTTGAATATAGTGTGAGGTAAGGGTACAGCCTCATTCTTTTGCAAAAATCCAGTTGTCCTACACTTAACTTTTTAAATAACTGTAAACTTTTCCAAAGAGGCTCTACCATTTTACATTCCCGCCAGTCAAGAGGGTTCCAATATCTCCACACACTAATACTTGGTATTGTCTTTTTTGTGTGTGTGTGTGTGAGGAAGATTGGCCCTGAGCTAACATCTGCCAATCCTCCTCTTTTTGCTGAGGAAGACTGGCCCTGGGCTAACATCCATACCCATCTTCCTCTGCTTTATACGGGACGCCGCCACATCATGGCTGGACAAGCAGTCTGTGCCCGGGATCTGAACCGGCAAACCCCGGGCCGCCGCAGCAGAGCATACGTACTTAACTGCTTGCGCCACCGGGCGGGCCCCTTGTCTATCTTTTTGATTACAGACATTCTAGTGGGTATGCAGTGGTATCTCATTAGGATTTAATTTGCATTTCCCTAACGATTAATGGTGTTAAACATCTGTTCATGTGCTTATTTTCTTATTGGTCATTTATATATATCTTTATAGTGAAACATTTTTTTTGCCCATGTTTTTAAATTCAGTTGTCTTGTTACTGAGTTGCAGAGTTCTTTACATATTGTGGACACAGTCCATTATTAGATATATTGCTTGAAAATATTTTCTCCCAATCTGTGGCCTGTTTTTTTTGTTTTCATAATGGTATCTTTTGAAACACAAAAGCTTTAATTTTGAGGAAGTCCAATTTTCTATCAATTTCTTTTTTCTGGATCATGCTTTTGGCATACAACTAAAAATTCTATCTAATCCAAAAGTCATGAAGATTTTCTCCTGTGTGTTCTTTGAGATGTTTTAGAGTTTGGGCTATTACCCATAGGTCTCTGATCCTGTTGAGATCACTTTTGCATATGATGTGAGGTGAAGGTCTCAGTCCATTCTTTTCCAGGTGGCGTGTCAGCACCACTGAACTGTCAAAAATCAACTAACCGTAAATATCAAGATTTGTTTCTGAACTCCCAATTACATCCCATTGATCAATACATCTGTCCTTGTGCCAGTGCCACAATCTTTTTCTTTTTTTAATTTTATTTATTTTTTTTCCTCCCAAAGCCCCAGTAGATAGTTGTATGTTATAGCTGCACATCCTTCTAGTTGGTGTACGTGGGACCCGGCCTCAGCATGGCCGGAGAAGCGGTGCGCCGGTGTGCGCCGGGATCCGAACCCGGGCCGCCAGCAGCGGAGCACGCGCACCCAACCGCTAAGCCACGGGACCGGCCCAACCACAATGTCTTGATGACTGTGGCTTTATAGTAAGTTTTAAATCAGAGTGTAAGTCCTTCAACTTTATTCTCCTACAAAATTGTTTTGGCTTTTTTAGGTCCTTTATATTTCCATATAAATTTTAAAGTCAGCCTGTTGATTTCTACAAAAAAGCCAGCAGGGATTTTGATAGGGATTGCATTGAATTTGTAGATTAATTTGGAGAGAACTACATCTTGTCAATACCAAGTCCTCCAATCCATGAAAATGGACTGTCTCTCCATTTATTTAGGTCTTCTTTAAGTTCTCTCAACAATGTTTTGCAGTTTTTCAGGGTACAAGTCTTGTACTTACTTTGCTAAATTTGTATTTTATTCTTTTTGATGCTACTATAAATGGAATTGTTTAATTAATTCCATTCTTGGATTGTAAATAGAAATAGAACTGGTTTCTGTATACTAATCTATGCTGCAACCTGCTAAAACTGTTTATTAGTTCTAGATTTTTTTTTTTTGTCATGCCATCTATGAAAAAAGACAGTTTTATTTATTTCACTTTTTCTTTTCCAAGTTGGTTATTTTCCCCTTCCTTCCTTCCTACCTATCTACCTGCCTGCCTACCTATCGCCTTTATTGTATTAGCTCAAAACCCCAGCATGATGTTGAAGAAAAATGGTGAAAGCACTTGCTTGGGTATCAAGTATTCAGGCTTTCACCATTCAGTGTGACGTTGGCTGTGAGTTTTCGTACACCTCCTGCAGCAGGTTGAGGAAGCTCCCTTCTGTTCCTAGTTTCTTGAGAGTTTTTAATCCTGAGTGGGTAGGAGATGCTTAGATGCTCAAAAGCTGCAATTGCTTTTCTCTTTTTTTTGCATCTGTTGAGATGATCATATGGTCTTGTCCTTTATACAATGCTGTGTATTACACATTAATACATTTTCAGATGTGAAATGAACCTTGCATTTATGGGATAAATACTACTTGGTTTAATCATTTTTATGTGCTGCTGGATTCAGTTTGCTAATATTTTGAGGATTTTTGCATCTATGTTCATGGGAGATATTAATCTATAATTTCCTTTTCTTGTTATTATGCTTGTCTGCCTTTGATAGCAGGCTAATACTGATCTTTGAGGAGAGAAATTCTCTCCTCACTCAGCCATAGCTGGAAGTCCTACACAGGATACGTTTTTATGGCTTAAATATTCTACAAGAAATGCTCATTTCAAAATATTTAGAAAAAGGAGAAAAGTACAATGAATAAATATCACCTGTAATTTCATTAATTCTAAGTGACCACTGCCATTTTATAAAACTGAAACGGCTTTAAAGTGTTCTTGGTTCTAAAAAGTAAATTATGCACACCGTATAATATTCAGATAATAAAGGGAAACAAAGTTTTAAAGAAGCAAAAATGACTTATAATCTCACGACCACTTAACATTTTTGCTTATATCTTACTCAACTTTATTTTCATAGATAGGGGATTATATGACACATACTGATTCATCATCTGGTTTATTTGAGACTATATTTTAAATTTTCTAGTATTTATAAAATACGTTAAAATGTCCACATGCATAATAAAGATAGGAATCAATGGTTCACATTTGCAAATCACTTTTATAATACATATTTAAGAATCTGCAGAGTTTTTTTTTCTGGGAGCCATATTCATTCTAATTTCAGCCCCAAAAATGCTTATATTCTTTAATAAGCAATTTAACTTCTGCACTTTTCTCATTAAAAAAAAATAGACTTTACACATAGACAGCAATATATACAAAGTTGTTTATTATCTATTTGATCTCAAAAATTAATTGTAAGAAGAGTACACCTTGGATATGTTTATTTCTGATGCTAAACAAACAGAATACATATTATAAATTATATATCACCACTAACTACATGAAAATACTAGAATAATAGGCTATGATCAAAGAAAACACCAAAATAACAGTGGTTATTTTAAGGATGATTTTTTTCTTTTAACTGTGTTTCCGAGTATATATAATAAAGTTAATTAAAAAAAAAACTCACAAATACCCAAAGGTACACCAATTCCAACTTTGAACACTCTTGTTATGGTTTTAATTTGCTGTTTTTCTGACGACTAATGTTGTTGAGCATCTTTCTATGTGCTTATTGGCCTTTTGAATATCTTCTTTTTGATTTTTCATTTTCTTGAAGAGTAGAAACTTTTAATTTAATCAAAAGCAAATATTCTGAGGAGTCCAATGTTTTAGTTTTTTCTTCTATTGTTAGTGGGGGTTTTTTTGGCTAGCACTGTTCTTAAAAGCAAAAGCAATTAAATGCCCAAAAGTAGAGACTTAAGAAAGTATGTTTTGAAAAGAAAAAAACAAAAAATGCAGATTAGAGTGTAAAAACGAGGAAATTAAGAATTAAATTTGTGGGGCCAGCCCTGCGGCCGAGTGGTTAAAGTTCCACACGCTCCACTTCGGCAGCCTGGGTTCACAGGTTCGGATCCTGAGTGCGAACCTACTCCACTTATCAGCCATGCAGTGGAGGCATCCCGCATACAAAATAGAGGAAGACTGGCACAGATGTTAGCTCAGGGCCAATTTTCCTCAAGCAGGGAGCCAAAAAAAAGAGGAAGATGGCAATGGATGTTAGCTCAGGGCAAATCTTCCTCACCAAAAAAAAAAAAAAAAAAAAAGAATTAAATTTGTATTTGCGTGTAAATATATAAAGATCAAACAACATAAGTGGCTACTTATGGGGGGGGTAGGGGAGGAGCAGATGAATGGAAAATAAGAACAGTAAGAGGACTTTCTTTCTTTCTTTTTTTTTTGTGAGGAAGATCAGCCCCGAGCTAACATCCATACCAATCCTCCTCTTTTTGCTGAGGAAGACTGGCCCTGGGCTAACATCTGTGCCCATCTTCCTCCACTTTATATAGGACGCCGCCACAGCATGGCCTGACAAGCAGTGTGTTGGTGCGCGCCCGGAATCCGAACCCGGGCCGCCAGCAGCGGAGCACGCACTTAACCGCTTCGCCACAGGGCTGGCTCTAGGAAGATGACTTTCAACATATACCTCATGACACATTCTGGGTTTTAAACCATGTGGAAGAATTACCTATACAAAAAAGTATATTAAACATTATGTTGTAAATATGATCATATATAGCATTTTCAGAAATAACTAACTAGTAGTGACAACATACCTGAGTAGTTTGTAAAGGATTTTAGGTCCTCTAGACTTATGGGAACTTGTGCACCAGAAATTAACACCTGGAAAAAAGTTCAATTCATATAATTTGAGGTAGGTTTTAAGAAAGTTTTTCATGTCTGAAACAACTTCTCCAAGCATCAGTAGGCAGTGCACCTGAATTTCCTGCTGATCGAACATGCGCAGCCACTCCAGGTTCACCACATTGGCCAGGCCCTGTCGGAAGGCCAGGCAGTGCTGGCGGATCTGTCTGTTCAGCCTGTAGTCGGCTACAAGGTGGATGTACGCAATCCGGTTGGCACTGGTGACGGGGATATCTTTTCCACCAAATTTTAGTTCAACCACCTGTGAATATTAAAATAAGGGCCTTAAAATTCTCAAAGTATGACTACAGGGTGAAACAAAAGCAAGAAACGATTATTTCAAGGAAACTTGACTGCGTTGGTTTGTGATGAGAACTTCAGTGAAAAGCAGTGCGACCAGTACCCACATCAGTGTATGTAGACTTGAAGATGCACCTGTGATGGGACTCTTCAAAGCTTGTGCCTTATCCTGTCTTTAAGATCATTAACCACCCCTCTTTCTCCAAAGTACTAATAAGGAATCACGCAACAATGTGATGTGGCCACTTCATTGTAAAAAATGAGAAATCACAAAGAGCAAGATATGAACCCAAAAAATATGAACCCAATGATCAAGTCAGAAGGGATTCATTTTGGAGACATTACAGCTTAAGGAATTAAGGTTGTAATAAAATGACTACTCATATTTGTTCATATAAGCAGTATACATCTCTTTGTATTTTCATAATATTATTACCACTGTAAAGTACTTTAAATATGATTTAAAGGGTAAGGTTAATAATTAGAGATAACTGATCAGTTCATTTCTTACATATCTGAATAGAAGTACAAAGAACAACTTTTGATCTTTACATAACCACACACACAAAATCTGTGGGCCTAGCATAGGGTCAGAAGCATCACTAGAGTGTCAGTGAGAAAGCACTGCACTAGAAAGAAGAGGCCTGGATTCTAGTTCCCTCTCCCTCACTTTAACGAATGGCCACAGACAAGTCCTCCAGCCCTTGGAACTTGTTTTGTCATTAATAAAATGGTGATGTTTGTTTTGTCAGTCTTGGATTTGTGATTGTCTAAACTCATATAAACAAAGTTGATTGACAAAACGCCATAGACAATCATAAACATATAAGCCTAATTTATAAGAGTATACTTTTAAAATTCCTTGGTTACTAGTACTTAAACAAAAGAAACGCATTCTTGGATGCATTTAGAGGAGGTAATCTATGCCAAGGATAAAGAAATATAAAATAAATCCAAAATAAGTGAACAAGGACTTTCCGGAGCGACCAAGACAATAAGGGGGACTGCCGCTAGTGGAAACTCACTATGCCTATCTCGGGGGTACAGAGAGACACTTAGACTGTGGATTACGGGAAAGCCACTAATAAACCCCCAGCGGCTTCTTCATCAGCCTTTGTTCTCTTGGTAGTCATCATATTCTGAGCAGAACAAAGTCATCACCACTCTCTCTGGGCCATGGCATTTTACCCCAATTTTTTATCACTTTACAGAAGGACTATTTTAAAATCTGCTAAAGAGCTTTACTTAAACTGTCCTATGTCTAATGGTTACGAGACCACCTCATGTTATAAAAGTTCCGCAGCTTTATCAGGTCTGCTGCTTCTCACCAGCGCAGGTTCTCAGTGCTGGGACCACCAGGGCTAAGAAGGGCTCTGAACCCACTGTCTCCACTCTGGGGGAGGCCATATTGCTTCCTGTGCTCACTCTTGGCTGACAGGCCATCTGTTACTCAAGCCTCAGGAGCTCCTGCTCTATTTCAATATATAAAATATCACCCCTTGCTTTAAGTGGATTAACGGCAGATAATAAATGATGATGTACTGTGTGATTTGGAAGACAAAGGACCCAGGAAGTGATCAGTTACAGGACTTCCAAAGCCCCCAGTTACCCTACCTAATTGCAGCACTGACATGTCCAGCAACTTTAAAGTGGGTACACTGTGGCAATTTAAACTCCTCTTTCCAGCTACCCCTAAATAACCGTGAGTGTTTATTTATTTATTTATTTATTTTTTGTGAGGGAGATCAGCCCTGAGCTAACATCCGTGCCAATCCTCCTCTTTTTCCTGAGGAAGACCAGCTCTGAGCTAACATCCATTGCCAATCCTCCTCCTTTTTTTCTTCCCCAAAGCCCCAGTAGATAGTTGCATGTCATAGTTGCACATCCTTCTAGTTGCTGTATGTGGGACGTGGCCTCAGCATGGCCGGAGAAGTGGTGCATCGGTGTGCGCCCGGGATCCAACCTGGGCCGCCAGCAGCAGAGTGTGCACACCTAACCGCCAAGCCATGGGGCCGGCCCAGTGAGTGTTTAAAATCATGTCAAAACTGTCCTCAGATTTCAGTTTTGAGGGCATATTTTTAGGTCTTTAAACATGGAACCAGAGCAGTTCTTACAGCAAGAGCTACCTTCTCTGTCACTCTGAAGGTCTACATTTTACGGCACTTTAGAAGGCACTGGGCTCTCAAGTGACTGACTCACATGAGCTTATTTAATCCTCATGGCAACTTATACCCCTTTTGAAGACGAGGAAGGGGTTCTATGACTTGCCCAAGGTCACACAGTAAAGCTGCAAAACCAGGACTTGAACCAAGGTCTCATGACTCCAGTTCCATGCTTTTCTACATAACAGGTGATTATATATGGGTCCATCTCAAACCTTAAGCATTTTCCTGAAGGGACATGTGTATATAAATTAGTAGTCTAAAATTTCATATTCCTTTTAAGCAGGCTAACAAACAGTCATATTAATCACACTAAAGAAAACAAATTTGAGAGCAACATCATTATTTTAAAATGGAATATTAATTAACATAACCTGCCAATATAACGAAGTATTTGCATATTACAAATCTTTAAATCATTATATATATATATATATATATATATATATATTTTTTTTTTTTTTTTTTTTTTTTGCTGAGAAGTTTAGCCCTGAGCTAACATCTGCGCCAGTCTTCCTTTACCGTATATGTGGGTCATCACCACAACGTGGCTGACAAGTGATGTAGGTCCATGTCTGGGATCCAAACCCACGAACGTGGGCTGCCAAAGTGGAATGTGCCAAACTTAACCACTACGCCCTAGGGCCAGCCCCCTAAATCATTATATTTTATAAACTTAAACCTGTGTAGAAGACTACGTTTTTATATCTATTTCTACAAAAATCCATAAGATCTCCCCCCAAATTAGGTGCTTTACTAGTGACTGTCTTAATTTTTCCAATTAGACTCTTTAGTATAATTATTCTTATGCATTATCATCTATAATCTCCTTACTCGGTAGAAATTTCTATGACTAATTGGAACATCTTAACTTCACACTTTTGCTTTTAACAGATTCCAATATTATCAGTGGTGCTTTAATGGAACTCTTACATATGCGACATCTCACTATTACCATCTATTTCAGAAGGAAAAATGGGAAATACTCCCATTAGCAAAGGCCTTGGACAGGTCATTACGAAACTGACTGCCCTAAAGCTTTTCTTTAGTTTTTAAACCATGCCACCAGGTGGAGCGAGGCTACAGATGCAAGTGGCATTACTATCTGTATGTTGAAAATTTCCTATGACGACGACAAACCTCATCTTTAAAAAGACACCTGAATTTTGCATTGTTGAAATTTCAGCTCTATAGTATGGAAGAAGAGGTTGAAACAAAAGCAACTAAATAAGTTGCAATCAAATAAAATATGGCTTTGTCTTCCTCACTCTTATTTTATCTTATACTGCTGACATCAGTTCTCAAAAATGCCTAGAGATGACCATGTATTAAGAAGAATTAGGGGCCGGGCCCGTGGCTTAGCGGTTAAGTGCATGCGCTCCGCTGCTGGCGGCCTGGGTTCGGATCCCGGGCGCGCACCGACGCACTGCTTCTCCGGCCATGCTGAGGCCGCATCCCACATACAGCAAC